GCAGGCTCGGCGCAGAGGGAGCGGGGCGCTGGGAGCTGCCTCAAGGCGCCCAGCGCGTAACCACCAAGGGGGGATTTCGAGCGTTTTCCAGTAAATGATGTCTTGGTTTGCAGAATGAGTGTCCCGGTAGATTCAACTCAGACCCCACAGCCAAGTTCGGTTTTTCTGTAGGGCCAGAGGAGCAGGGAGAAATGTTGCGTTTTTTCCCCAAAAGTTGCAGCACTGGTTCAGAACTGCAGTGTGAGCCCGCACTTGCAGTCCAGGCTATTCACCCCACTGGGATACACATTTCAAATACTTGCCGTCAGTCCTGATTAGCCCCTTGTGAAGGTTTCATTGACTTTATTTTAACGACTGTGCAACAGACACGAAGAAATTCTTAACAGAAAGATGCAGCTATCTGATCATAGCCTAGAGCTTAGTCAATGTAAAAAGTTGCATAAAATGCGCCCAGTTTCATCAGAGGCAAAACCTGAGAAGCCTAAGGAATTCCAGCCACCTTCTCAAAGCTCTCTTTTTTTTGTTTTACCCAATTTCACCTTTCCTCATCACAGTAAATCTGACCTCTCCCTCTTGCCTCAAGGCTTGTCTGTACAAGCTAGGCCCTTGTACCAAGGGTGTGTGTTGGGGCACGTTGGTCCTTTAGTTGTGTTGTAACTATACCAGGACAGAGAAGTTTTTTGGTTTTGTTTTTTCTCGTTATGTGAGAATGAGAGATTTGGAAAACCTTGACCAGTGTGGTGTTGCAAGGTATCATGCTTGCCCCACAGCACACAGCCTACGCCAAGAGGAGACAGAGCTCTTACCCATGGCCAGCGTGGCTCTCCCACACAGCAAAGTTAAGCCCTAGCCTTGAAAGGTGATGGACCAGCTATGCAAGTTCCCAGCTCTGGTTTCAAAGTGTTTTGTCTGATTCAGTGATAGTTTCCAAATGGCTGCGATCAGTGATAGCTGAGCCCTGAGACTGAATTCTAACTCCAGCAAAACTTACATTTAACTTTCAAAGGGGCAAAGAGTGTGGATTTTAGTTTTCAAGAGTAGGAAGAAAGGAGGAAAGCTGAAATGGAGCTTTCCTGAAGTTTGACCTCCAGTTTATTCTGCTGGAGTGTGATAACATCTAGAAAATCAACATAAACCCTTTAGCTGAAGGCTTTTTCCTCCAGCTCTATGGCTCTGCTTGTCTCCTTTTTGGATGAGATAGCAATGGATGTGGAAGGGCAGGCTCTGCGGTATCTTCCTTTGCCTGTTGGTTTGTGCTATACATGCATGCATGCAGCCCTGACAGAGCTGGCTGGAGGCTTCTCAGTGATGTTGGCAAAATCAAACGCTCTCGATCAAAATCTCTACTTCTGAGATGAAAGGCCTGCCAAGAAAGGGACATGTCTGAGCTCCAGCAGAAAGCCTTGGAGGACTGCTGGAGGTGTCTGGGAAGAGTGAGGGCTTCTGCTGAAGAAGGCCAAGTTGTACTTACCTCGGAGGCAAGTAAAGCACCAGCCCAACCTTCTAGGGCTGTGGTGTTGGCAAAGAAATCATATGAAAACTACTAGAGAAGTCTTGACTTTGTCTAGATGTGGCCTTAGCTCGTGCAGTGACAATAATTTCTGTTGCTTTGGGAAATACACTTAGAGGCAAAACACTGACAGGAATCAACCACAGAAAGGCAGATATCTCAAGAAAGGGAAGGAAGGCATAGAGGATGCACAAAGGAAATGTATGTGAAGATGTAACATTTCCAGCCCAAAGGCTTGTCGAGAAATATATCAAGGTATGTTTGTCCCATCATAAATACATGGAAGGAGAGAGCTTAATAAGCTGTTTGCATCCATAAACATATGGGTGACATTAATGAAAGTGACTTGCATTTGCCTATGACTCTTGAGTGAGTGCTAGGAAGTCCTCTTGTTAGTAGAAGGTCTAGAGCTGATTCTTCACCCTGTGAAAACTGACCATTTGGTATATTATGTCATCCTGCAGGTAAAAGGACACAGAAAAGAAGATGGACTGGGGAACTCTGCAGGCCGTTTTAGGAGGCGTAAATAAACACTCAACCAGTATCGGGAAGATATGGCTCACAGTCCTGTTCATCTTCCGTATCATGATCCTGGTTGTGGCTGCAGAGAGAGTCTGGGGAGATGAACAACAAGATTTTGTCTGCAACACACTTCAGCCTGGGTGCAGAAATGTTTGCTATGATCACTTTTTCCCCATCTCTCACATCAGACTCTGGGCCCTGCAGCTGATTTTTGTTTCTACGCCTGCGCTGCTGGTGGCCATGCACGTAGCTTATACCAGGCATGAGAAGAAAAGGCGGTTCAGAAATGGTGAGAAAATTGATATTGAAGAGCTGAAAAATGAAAAAATTCACATTCGGGGCCCCCTGTGGTGGACGTACACCAGCAGCATCTTCTTCAGGATTGTCTTTGAAGCAGTCTTCATGTATGTGTTCTATTACATGTACGATGGCTACCAGATGCCTCGCTTGGTGAAGTGCAATGCATGGCCCTGCCCCAACACAGTGGATTGTTTTGTGTCTCGGCCCACTGAGAAAACCACATTTACTATTTTCATGCTTGCTGTGTCTGGGATCTGCATGATGTTGAATCTGGCTGAGTTGTGTTACCTAGTGATAAAAATTTGCATGAAAGAATCCAGGAAAACAGTTTTAAAATAATTCCCCAGTTTCAGGATTTCCTCGTTTCCCCATTTCCCTCAAACTTTCTTAGGTGTCAGAAAACAATCAGCAATATTTTATCACTTGAGGAAAAATATAAAAATCAAAGTTCATTCATGTTTTAGAAATTATAGCCTCTCTGGGAAGCTGCTGCTGAGGCAGGTTTTAAAGATCATGAGCTAATTCAATATTCCTGCATCCCCAAAGAGAAAGAGCAGCCTTCTGGCAGCAGCTTTTCCAAGTATGCCTGCTGCTGGGGCAGAATCACTTTTCAAAACGTGGGAGTGGAAAGGCCCAGAGAAGGCTCCAGTGCCCAAAGGAGAGCCAGGAATCCCAAACACACTGTGTCATCTTCAGAGGCGAGCCAGTAACAAAGGGTTTTGGTCAAAAGAGGGGTAAAGGTTTTTTAAGGGGAACTTATGGCTTGTGAAAGGGAAGACAGGGAGGTGATTGTGTTTATAGCAGGTATCCTATTCTCTCTCAAGTATTTTGGAGAGCAAGGAAAGGGCCTAGGAACACAGGTAGTCCATGGCAATGCAAGTTACCAGCTCTGCTGGGCACCAGCAATGGTTTTTATCTTTTTACCTCCTCACCTGCACTGAGGAGCATCTCCTACAGGCTTGGGGGTGGCCAGTCTCAACTGCTTGTGAATGTCATTAGGTCAGTGCTGCCTCCCTCCACTCACAGGGGCTGCAGCAGTGGGAGGAGTGAAGTTTGTTTTTTTCTTTCTTTCTCTTGGTCAGGTGAAAAAAAAGGATTGTCACCTTTGAGAAGGTGGGACCAGCGCAACTCTCATCCTCCTTCTCTTGTTCTCCCCCACACTTTGTAAAGAATCTCAGTACAGTAGATGTTATTTGATGAAGAGACTTTTTACCATCTGACTGTGCCTCCTTCAGCTGTGTACCTTTAAAAGGTTTTTCTTTTTCAGTAAAAGCCGAGAAAAATTGCTTTGTTTCACTCTGTCTGTTATCCAAAAGAAGTGCTTCAACACTTACGGCATGACATGCAGTAGATTGCACCTACCTACTTACCTGCACAGCTTTTCTTCATAAAACTTTCTCCCTCTCTGAGGAACATTTCAAGTGTGTCTATCAATCCACTCCCAATCTCTTTGACATTCCACACTGTGAGACTGAATCACCCTTCCTCTTCTTACAGTAGGTCTAGCGGGAATTACAGACAGCTTGCAGGGCTAAAATAGCAAAGGGACCCAGTCAGAAATGAGGAGAAACTTGGTATTTTCCTTAAAGTTGCCATTGCTGAGCTATGAATTCTATGTTACTAACTTGAAGAACTATGTGAGTCAGTCTGGTGTTGTCTCTCCAAACTAGTCTCAAAACATGTTTTATGCCTGTCGTAGGCAGCTACACCAGCACATATAACACCACAGTTTATCTCCCAAGTGCCTGCCCATTGAACCCCTTTCTAGAAAACTGGTTATTTCTTCTCCTTAGCTTTAATAACTGGCTTTTCCCCAAAATGAATGAGTGCTATCTCAGCTTCTCTATTTGCATCCATCTCTTACTGTGCAGTTAAGTTTATCACTGTTGGAGTAAACAAAGCTGCATTAGTTAAGACACATCACCCCTCACTGTGCACTGGAAGTGGAGCTTATGCAGGCTCCAGTTGCTTGTGAGCTACATCCAGTGTGACAACTTGACTGCAGAAGGAAATCTGTCATCTAAGAGGGGAGCAAGAAAAACATAAACACACCATCCTCAGAAGCATGAACAAAAAGACAGTCATTAATAATGAGCTGAACTGGAAACTTGGACTGTGAAAACATCCTTAATTCAACTCTGAAGAACAAAGCTTGGCACATATCAGGTTTGTGCTTGGTAAAGTTCCTGCATTGTTCCGTGTACAAGTACAAAGAAAACAAACTATCTACACTCCCAGTGCTCTAGTATTACATTTCTTTTGTAACAACAGGATTTTTATGTGTGTTCTGAAACGATAATTAAAGCACTCTTGTGGTGTCTGTTTTCTGTATTGTTTGTACATTCCATGTAGTATCTCATGTATCCAATGAAAATCTGTTTGCCATAATGGAAAGTGTATGCACTAATACTACATTCAATAGCCAAGGGCTACTTGTAAGGATTATACCCTTCTGCTGCAGGTTGGTTTTTCAATTACTTACATTGCCTGTTATCCTGCAGACTTCATGAGCTGATAGTGGAAGGTCACATATGTGACCCCTACTAGAAATCAAATGTGCTGCCTAAGTCAGCCTTGTATTAGGAGAACTGCAGCTGGAAAAGGCTGGTGATAAATTCCTTAACCAGTTCCAGAGAGAGAGTTTGTTTCCCCAGTTTGCCTTTGAGTTTAACTGGAACTTTGAATGAGACACACCAAAACTAACACTATGAGGTCATCTTCAGCTAGCAGTTTGGCAACGAGATTATCACACAGGGGAAAAAAGATAGAAATAGGTAAAGTGTCTAGAAGTGGCCAAGAGAGGGCTTTGATCCAGAACTGCAGCATCAGGTGATAATAGCTCTACCAGGACATACTGTCTGAGGTTTCTTTTTTGTGTATACTAAATTTGACTAAATAGCT